TAAAAAACAGCAACAACGGCTTTCTCCCCAGTGTCAAACCTACCTAGGCTATTTTCAAAGTATTTGATATCAACAGATCTGAAAGCAGCAGTAGATCTACGTCTCTTTTAACATATCATTTCACTTTCAACTATAACTGACCTCTCTCTGGCAGGTATTATACTTTCAGAAAATGTTTGTGGAACGACAGTTAATTTAAAATAGAAATATATATATATCTATATATATAAGTCTCATTTCATTCCATTTTTCCATTTTCCCTTGGATTAAGAGGTGAGAGGATTAATAATTTATAAAAATTGTGTGTGGATGTGGATGTGTGTTTTTCTCTTCTGAGTCCCTCTCCTGGGACTTAGCCTCCTCATTCCCATGAGAGATTGAGGAGGTTCACTTTTTAAAATAAGTGGTGTATCTAATCTTAAGCTGTTAGGAGTTTAGTGACATGCTAGCAATATTAAAGAAAAACACTGTCTTGTGAAGCAGAATGCTGGGCCATTATCGTATCACATTGGCTCCAGCATGATTTAGCCTGCTGGGTGATGAACCAGTGGTGTAACTTACCCAGAAATGCATCTCTCCGTTTTATGACAACAGTTTAAGTAATTAAAATTGCCTGTGTGGAGAGCATAATAAGCTTTTAGGAAGTATTTCAAGAAGAGTTATAGTGGCACAGTAAATAGTGCTTTCAGCTATTCCTTCCTTTTAGTGATACTTATCACCAAGAGACATCATTCTTGGGCACCCCAAGGGATGCCTGTGTCTTATGTAGTCAATACTAAAGATCTAAGTGGTCATTTTTGTTTTGCAATTTATATGCTATGGTTAACTATAGGCTTGTTAAAAATTTAATGAAGAAAATGCATAAATGGACCAAATTAACATGAATAAGACAGAGCTTCTTTAAGGTTGATTACATTTGATTATGGAAAAAATATTGGATGACACAAGAAATGTCCAAAAAAAAAGAAAGAATACACATAGTCACTGTACCAAAAAGTATTGGTTGACATTCAGCCATTTCAGGAGGTAACATATGATCAAGAACCAATGGTACTGAAGGAAGAAGTCCAAACTGCACTAAAGGTAATGGTGAAAAACAAGGCTTCAGGAACTGACAGAAAACCAATTGAGATGTTTCAAGAAACAGATGCAATGCTGGAAGCAGTCATTCATCTATGCCAAGAAATTTGGAAGGCAGCTACCTGGATGACAGACTGGAAGAATTCCTTATTCATGGCTATTCCAAAGAAAGATAATCCAACAGAATGCAGAAATTACCAGGCAATATCATTAATACCACCCGCAATAAAATTGTACAGAAAATAATTCAAAAAGATACATCTTTTTGATGCAGCAATACATCTACAGGGAACTGCCAGACATTCAAGCCAGATTCCTAAGGCAGTGTGGAATGAGAGATATCATTGCTAATGTCAGATGAATATTGCCTGAAAGCACAGAATAACAGAGAGATGTTTACTTGTGTTTTATTGACTATACAAAGGTATTTGACCGTATGGATCATTAAAATTATGGATAACATTGCAAAGAATGGGAATTCTAAAACACTTAATTGTGCTTCTGCAGAACTTACAAAAAGACCAAGAGGTAGTCATTGAACAGAAGAAGGAGATACTGTGTGGTTTGCAATCAGGAATATGTGCATTATTTATTGTATCTTTTCATCATTCTTATTCTATCTGTATGCAAAGCAAATAATCTGAGAAGCTGGGCTATATGAAAAAGAATGCAGGATCAGGATTGGAGGAAGACTCATGAACAACCTGTGATATGTAGATGACACAACCTTGTTTACTGAAAGTGAAAAGAACTGGAAGCACTTACTAATGAAGATCAAAGACTACAGCCTCCAGTATGTATTATGCCTCAGTACAGAGAAAATAAAACTCTTCACAACTGGACCAATAAGCAACATCATGATAAACAGAGAGAAGATTGAAGTTGTCAATGATTCCATTTTACTTGGATCAACAAACAATGCCCATGAAAGCAGCAGCCAGGAAATCAAATGATGTATTGCATTGGGCAAATGTGCTGCAAAAGACTTCTTTAAAGTGTCAAAAAGTAAAGATATCACTCTGAGGACAATGGTGCACCTGACCCAAGCCATAGTATTTTTGGTCACCTCATTTATATATGGGAAAGCTGGAGAATGAATAAGAAACTCCAAAGAAGAATTGATGTCTTTGAATTATGGTGGTTGTGAAGAATATTGAAGGTACCATAGACCACCAGAAGAACAAACAAATTTGTCTTGGAGAACTACCAGAAGGCTTCATAGAAGTGAGAATGGCCCACCTTCATCTTACATACTTTGACCATGTTATCAGGAGAAACCAGTCCCTAGAGAAGGACATCATACATAGTAAAGTAGTTGTTGTTGTTAGGTAGAGTTGTAGAGTCCTCTACAACTCATAGCAACCCTAAGCACAACAGAAGAAAACACTGCCCAGTCCCACACCAGCTTTGTGATCCCTGCTATACTTGAGCCCATTGCTGCAACCACTGTGTCAGGCTATGTAATTGAGGGCCTTACCCTCTTTTGTTGACCCTCCACCTTACCAAGCATGACATCTTTCCCCAGGGAATGGTCCCTTCTGACAATATGACCAGAGTAGGTGAGATGAAGTCTGGCCATGCTGTGCTTCCAAGGAGCCTTCTGGCTGCACTTCCTCCAGGACAGATTTGTTAGTTCTTTTAGCAGTGCGTGGTACCTTCAGCATTCTTCGGCAGCATCACATCTCAAAA